TACATATAAGAATTATTAGTAGATCGTATTTAAATATCTAATGAGATTGCTGAATTAGTATAAGCAATTGTGAATGAATGGGGTAAATTAATTATATAAAATTATAAGGAATATATGATTAAAGATTATAGGATAAGTGATGATTTAAGTTAAGCATTGGCATTGGCAGGAACGACAAAAAAATGACTGAGGCTAAAATTAAATCTGCATAAGCTGAAGTAGATGCTACTATGCTCTTAAGAGAAACATCAGATATTTTCTCTAGTTAAGCTGCTATGTAAATCAGAATGCTAGAAAAACTCACTCAAATTTCTAAAGGGGCTATTAAAAAAGTTGTCATGATGGCTTTATGAATACATACTTATTTTATTCTTACATTTCATTAAAGATTCATTTATTCAATCCTAGAGTCTTTTCTCGAAGTTTTAATTGTTTAAATCATCTCTCCTTTTTTATATTCTGAGAATACTCAGAGTAATATTATTGAAAAATTATCAAAAATTGTATAGTCAATTTTCAATATCACTCTGGCTATTACATATTCAGCTTTACCCAAATTAGGTAAAATTATAATAAAGACTTATACTTTATAACAAAATGATCTTTTCAAAATAATAAAATTTATCTGAATTTAATTTAAAGATATTTAAATATATTTCAAAAATACAAACATAGTTTCATACCAAAAATTTTAGAATTCTTCATATCCTTAACCTATTTGTCCATCCCTGAAACATCTCTAATAAATCTTAGTATAATTATCTTATTTTAAGATTTCTGTAAGTCATCCAATGCTTCATCTTATTAAGGTACTTTCCTTAGCAAAAAAAATTTTAATTCAAAGATCCTTCATTTGTACACTGTATTTTCATAATTTATTCAAATTTAAAATCGCCTCTCCATCTAACTGAAGTGAAACCAAGCATTATTTATTTTCTAAATATGTCAATTTCCAATCCTAATGCATTAAAAAAAAAAATTATTATTCACTTAATTTTTTGATATATACTTCAATTTTTTTTATATATTTTTGATATAAATTGATTTATTAATCCTTAAATTATTTTTTTTTCAAAAAATAGGGTCTATCATAAAGGTTTCATAATTTTAAATAGTTTATTTATAAATTCAATTTTTCTCATTGAATTAATCTAATTTATCTATCTTAAATGTTTGATTAGTTATAAACATTACATTAAAATTAGACTGGACTTTTTTAGGTCTGAATGAAAATTAATAGAAAATTTTAATATACTTAATCTGCACTTACAGCAATTTTCATTAATCTTAAAGTATCTATTGTAATAAATCTTTTGATTCTGTAATAAGTTTGAATTTCTTTAACAAAGGTTAGCAATTATTATTTTTTAGACTTTGTTTTTCTAATTTCAAGAGATTAAAGAATGCTGACTTGCAATATTTATTAAATTATATTGTTTAAAGGCTTTATAAGATTAGTTCATTTACAATTTATTTATAATAATTTATATTAAGTAATCATAACTGGGAAGCCAGTTTTGGGGACTTCTACAAGAATTATTATTATAATTTCTTTCTTTATTCTTGAAGTTGTCTACTCTTTTGTTCTAGTTAGCTAATTTTAAATTCTGATTATATCAATTGCTCTTATAAATTTTGATATTATGCAGCTAACTTATCATTTGAATATTCTTAATTCTCTTTCTCTCTTTGATTGTGCAAAGGAGTTGAGAAACCAGCATCAGTGTGAACTCTATTCGATTAAATATGTTAGTTATTGGTAAGACTCTATTTCTGTTATGATAATACATTTGGAGTTAGGGTTCTTGATTGCAAAGCTTAATGCTTTGTCGGAGTCTAATTTTAACGTTAATTATAAGGAATTTTTTATGGCGTCATTGTTGTATTTTAGGATTATTATGGATATTTAACGACATTTGGACTTACTGATACTTTATTTGTGATTAATCTTATTGGAGAAACATTTGAAATTTGTTAATCCATGTTCTATGACACTCTTCTAGTAGATTGTAATTAGCTCGATTTATCTAATGGAATTATGATAGACTATTAGGTCTATACAGGCATTCGTATTGTTGGTTAAATTATTCTCTAAGTAAAACCTTTATCATACCTAAGTGTATTAAAACATTTTTCAATATTCCAATTAACAGATAATTAATTAAAAATAATAATCTATATTTTTAATTAAATATTTGCATAAGATAATATACAATAATCAAATTTTTATTATCATCTTCTCTTATTTATATATTTTCACTATATTTATCATAATATAAAATCTATATAAATATAATCTTAAAATTTATAGATATAAAATATAAAAATTAGTTATATATTATTTTATACCAAAAAATTGATTTAAAATAACTAATTTCATTAGTAGGTTAAAGTTTTCTATTTCTAATTTAAATTACGACGAGCACTTCCACTTCTACTTCTTGGCTAAGTTTATATAGTTTCTAATATAAAAGATAACTGAATACCTTAAATTGTTTTTTGTTAAATTTGAGAATTTTTATAATTCTTTTTAGAAGCAATATAATTTACTAAGCTTGCTTTTTTATCTTTAATAATTATTTATTGCTGAATGATATCATTTATTGAAGATATTGAATTATGTTTACCATGAACTGATTTTTAATTTTCTTATTGTTAGTAAATTTATTATTACAATTATTATTACTATTATTGAAGAATGTTAAAGTAATTTTATTTCAAAGAACCTTAAGATTATGTTGGATAATCAGTACTTTCTTAAAGTTAACTACTTAATTTGTGTTCTGAATAAGAACTAGTTTTATTTGTTTCTTTACTATTAGGTTTTCTTTATACAAGCTCTTTAATTTATTGGCTATTCTTATTAGCTTATTAAATTTCATAATCTACTTAATCATATTTAATATTCTTTTGGTATTATTCATTTTCATATTATAAGATTTTTTATTTATAAGAAGTGATATCAGTTATCAATTTTGTATTTTCTTCATAAAATTTTTAATTTTCCTTTTTTAAATTCTAAATGAAAATACTAATGGATTTTTTACATTCATAACTTTCTTGGTTGTTTCTAGTAGCTCATTTCGTGTAGCTTCACTTTCATCTAATTTAGTTTGAATTGATTCTGCATATAATTTCAATTATTATTCAAGCTATTTTGAAGATAAAATGATATATCTACTCTAATATGATTTCTAATTTCACTTTCACATTTAATGACTGTTTACTCTAATCTTTCATATTCATCTTCTATTCTAATACTTTTTGATGAAACATTTAGATCTGCAATTTACTCTAACTTTCTTTTATGATAAAAATGCTTACTAAACTTTTTTATCAATTTTTATGATTAGATTAGTGAAAACAACTTTAATTATATTGACTAATTATGTTAGATTCTCATAATCTTTTAATTCTTTTTCAATTTCATTTAGATCATTTTTGGTTTCAATATATTTTTCTAATTAAATTAAAATTCTTTCCAATAAATCCTTTAAAGAATTTTCTATTTCTCTATCTGAATTTGTAACCAAACTAGATTGACTCATCCAGAAAGTAAATTTATTATATAAAATACTTAAAATAATAATTATTAGATAATCAAATTCAACATAAATTAAGACGTACTAAATTACTATGCATTCAAAATTAGTTTTCTTTCATAAATTAAAAAAGCAAAAAAACTGATGCATATTTTATATAAATAAATTGATAAATTTGCAGTTACACAATTAATCTATTGAATTAATTATAAATGATGACATTTTGATAGGGATACATCAGTTTATAAATGTATTTAAGTTGAATACAATAAATTAATCAATAAATAATGAAACATATTTCATAAAATTCATAGAATTTGTAACTTGCTACAAAAACATTTAATGATATCCCATTCACTATTTATACTCGTTATTAAGGAATTAAATTATTGGGTGCAGGATCATACGGAACAGTTTTGTTGGCTTTAGATACCCATACGAATACAAAAGTTGCAATAAAAAAATTAAATCCATTGGAGGATATCATAGATGCCAAAAGAATGTTGAGAGAAATTAGAATATTAAGAGCTATGACTCATCCTAATATTGTGGCAATTAAAGCTGCTATTTATGATAATGTATCATAAGAGAGTGACTATTTTGGCACTGTCTATTTGGTATAAGAATATTTTTAGGCTGATCTTCATAGAGTTCTAAAAAACCCAAAAGATTTAACAGATGATCATATACAATATATAATGTATTATTATACATCTTAAGATAGGTATCAATTAACAAAAGCAGTGGCATATTTACACTCAGCATCTATTATACATAGAGATATTAAGCCTTCAAATATATTAGCTAAAGATGATTGCTCAATAAGTTTATGTGATTTTGGCCTATCAAGATAAATAGAAGAATATGAAGAAGAAGATAATAAAAAAGCATAAAATTTTACAGAATATGTTGTTACAAGTATAAATATACTAATTTTATCATAGGGTATTATAGAGCACCAGAAATTATGGTATCTTCTCAATAATATTCATTCCCAATCGATATCTGGTCATTAGGTTGTACTTTTGCTGAAATGCTAAATGAAGGAAAGGTAAATTATATATAAAACTATCAGGTTCTCTTTAGAGGCAAAACTTATGTCTAAATGGTTAAGATGATCTTTGAAACACTTGGTAAACCAATCTAGGAAGATTTAGATTAATTTATTAAGAATAAGAATGCTATGGAATTTGTCCATTCTTTACCAAGTGTTCCACCATAATCAATTAAGAAATAAATTGATTATTCAAATCCTTTAGCTATTGATTTATTAGATAAAATGCTTGTGATTAATCCTCATAAAAGAATTACTGCTTAAGAAGTATCATAATTCATTAAATCAGGCTTTAAATCATCCATATTTTAAAGAAATTAGGGAAAAAACTGAAGAAGCACCATACAAAGGGCATGCTGATTTTACATTTGAAAATGATGACACCATTAGTTTTGAGTAAATGAGAATTATGATTCTTGAAGAACTTAATAAATTAGGTGAAAAAATAGATATTCATGATGAAATTGATAGATTAAAATAACTTAGAGAAAAGAGAAGAGCTTAAAAGTTAAAAAAATGATTATTTATTTTTATTCATTATATGGCATATATTAAATTAATTATTAATTTACAAAAAAGCTTCTTCTTTCTTTTTTTTAAAGTATTATTTTTACAATATATTTAAATGGTACTGAATAAATAAATTTCAAGTTCTCAAATTTCTTGTCATCAATATTATTATGTATATCATAGATGAAACTAGATACTAGACAAATAGTAAACTATAATTTATAAATTATTATTTTACATAAATATAAAATTTAACTTCAAATAAAAAAAGTTATCAATTAGACATTAAAATGATATTTATTAAAAATCATTATGCACTCTAACTTATTAATTAAAAATAAATTTCATTAGTAAAATATCAATTATTTAATTCTAATTAAAAGGATTTTTGATTTCTTCACTTGCTCATTTTAGTCCCTTTAGATTATTTACCGAAGAGCACATGTATTAAGCAAAGAATACCCATTTTACTAATCAGAAGTGTAAAAAATAATTTTTGACCTCATAAATTTGTGATTTTTCGTTATTTTTTTAAAACATTCCAAAAGTTCTGAATTATGATAATCTCACAATACTTATAATTATTATTCTCTAAAATAATTTTTTAGAAAATACTTCTTACAACTTCGTAATTGAGAATCATTAAATAAAAAATTAAGATTGTTAATTTTTAAATGATATTAATAATGGCATAGAATTTACGATTAATAATCCAATAAATAATTATGAATAAGAATTAAAATATAAAATACTTTTTCTTTTCAATAATTTTTATAGTTTTATCGAGGTAGTTAAACTTTAAAGCAATAAGAATTGCATTTACAATTCTAATTAAAATCTTTTGACCATGAGATTTTGAAATTTATATAATATCATTATTAAGTAGAGTAAAAATATAATATTAAAGAAAAATAGATTTTAATTTTGAGGCATCTGAGGTATATTAAATATTTGGAATTTTACTTTTAGATATTAGTTTTAAATTTATTAGTTTTCAGGAAAGTTTTTCTAATAAGGATCTTCTTAGGTCTTATTTAATGAAATAATAAGAATTCTTTTAGGATATAAAACTTGTTGGATGACAGTTTTTGAATTATAAATTTGTAGTAGATGAGAAATTTAAAAAATAATAATAAATATGGGGATTTGTTCTGGAGTATGTTAATAGCAAACAAAAAATATAGTAAATGAATCTGCAATAGTTACAGAGATAATAAAATAAGGATTATAAGAAGATACAATAACTAGTGGATTAGTTTAATAGTAGGAAAGGTATTTATAAATGGAGACAGGTGCAATATATGAAGGGGACTTATAAAATGGAATTCGAAGTGGAAAGGGGAGATAAGTATGGCCAGATGGTATAAACTTAATAATTTAGGTTCTTATTATGAGGGAGATTTTATAAATGACATGGCAGATGGGAAGGGAATATTAGTAAATGCAGAAGGAAGTGTATATGATGGAGAATGGTTAGAAGACAAGGCGAGTGGTTTTGGAAAATATTATAGCCATGATGGATTGTACTATGAAGGATAATGGTTGGAAGACAAATAACATGGTATAGGAAAGGAGATAAATTCAAAAAGTTCTTAGATAAATTAATTTTGTTAGATGAATGCTATGAAGGAGAATTTGTAAGAGGAGTGAGATAAGGATAAGGGAAGTTGACAATAAATGATGAAGAATATTATGAGGGAGAGTTTTAGAATGGGATGATGCATGGTAAAGGTATGAAATGGAAATAGTAATATAGCAAAGGAACTTATACATGGAGAAACTAAAAATGTTATAGAGGAGAATGGAAAGAGGGATAAATGGATGGATATGGAATAATGAAATGGGAAGATGGAAAATATTATGAAGGGAATTTTGAGAAAGGAAAATAACATGGAGAAGGAACATTTGTATGGAATGGTAAAAAATACGTAGGTGCATGGATAAATGGGTAATAGGAAGGAGAAGGAACTTATTATAATAAATAAGGTTAAGGTAGAGAAGGAATTTGGAAGAATGGAAAAAGAATATAATGGATTGATAATAATAGTAGTAGTAATAGTATTGAATAAACATTTTGAATTTATATTTATTATTAAATTTAATGAATACACCTGCAGCACCAACTAATAATGTCATAATAACTAAAGTAGAAATAGCAAGATTTACGATTTATTTAGTATCACTTATGGTTTCGGTTCTGATGTAAATGTAAATGGAAGAATAAGGTATAATGAATACATCTGTTTAAAATTCAATGTTTTCAGGAATTTAAAATGTGTTTAAGTCTAATAATTAAACACGATTCTCAATGTTGAATTGGATTGATAAATAATTATATCATGGTTATTCATTAAATTAAAACTCTACACAAATGTATAGTAGATTAATGCCTATAACATTCCTAGAAATTTAAACTAAATATGCTAAAATTGATAGTTTAGTTAATGTTTGGGATAAAGATTTAATAGAAGATAAAAGTAATTAAGGATTTCAATAATAATATGTATATCCATTTATATAACGATTCCCACCATATCCAGTATTTAAGAATATCAGTTAAATTGATGATGTCAGTGGAATTACTTTAGATTCATTAAAATTAATAGATGCTGGTTATTTAACATCAAACACTCATTTATTAAAAGCATAAGCTTCATATTATAGTCCTAATCTATAGATGATTGTAAACATTATTTCTTATAATTAGTGTGTAGTAAGAATTAATATGGAATTTAGCGCAGCTGGATAATCCTATTAATTTATTCAATATGATTCATTTAGATTGAGTTTTTATCTTAATTAAACTGATTATATTAGAATGGCTTTTGAAATTGTATTTGCTATTATTTACATTAACTATTTGTATATGGAGGGTTACAAAATATATTTTAAAATTTAAATTGCTTTAAAAGATGATAAATAAAAAGTTGACGCATAAAAAAAGAAGGATAAACGTTTAAAACCTAAAAAAGATAAAAAAAGAGGTGTGGTTGTCTAAGGATTAGAAGGTAGAGTAGAATAATTAGGAGTTTAAGGAGAAAAATCAGAATCCTCTGCTAAAGAAAATTTAGAAGAAGCTTAAAGAAAAACAAAAATTATTATCAATGTTGTTATCTAACATATTTCTGATATTTGGAGTGCAATTGATGTTCTCATTTTAGTACTTCTTGGAATTGCTGCATCTGAATATATTAAAGCTATTTCCTCTTAACCATATTCTGAGTCTTTAAATTAACTTTTATAAAATGCAACTACATATTAATCTGTTTTTGAACCTATTTATTAATAGATTCTTCAAGGAACTTAAGTCTTATATACACTCAATGATGAATTTGCTTAATAGGCTGATATCTTAAGATTTTATAGAAGATTTTGTGCTGTTGCTCTATTAATCATGTGGATTAAATTACTGAAATATTTTATTAATATTTTCAAAAGACTTGTTAGTTATTTGGAAATCATATTAAGTGTTGTTGAATATATGATATTTTATTTAGTATTGTTGGCAGCAATTCTCCTATCATTTTCTTTGTTTTTTTACTTTCAATATGGAAGTTAGATTTTTATTACTTCAACCATTGGAAGATCTTTGTCTTATATTTTAGGTTTTATGATTGCTTAGAATGATTAATTTAATGAATTATTTAAATATGATGAAGTTATTACATTCATTATGACAATCTTATATTATGTTATTGTCATTATTATTTTATGTAATATGTTTTTTGTTTTTGTCAAGTAAGAATATAATGAGTATTAAAAGAAAATAGAAAAATAATAATAAAAAACTAATAATTCCAATAAACATAATGAAGTTGTTAAATATATACATCCTTATTGGTATTTCTATAATATTGTTGAATATTTTGTTATCAGATTTTGGTTTACTTTAAAATTACAACCTTCTAAATTTGATGAATACAATGAAAATAAAGAAATCTAACATGTTATTAATGAGAGAGAATTTAAAGAAAATCCATAAACCATCGATTTTAATGTTGATTTTGCTAACTTAATCAATCAATCAGTTGATGATGATAAAAATTAAAAATTTTTAATAGAAGAAGAAAAAGAAAGAATTTTAAGTAAATAAAAAATGGAACTGATCAAGTTGATTTGGAAAACAGTACTTTTATTGGTGATTTTATCTTTAAATTTTATTCTCTTACAAGAATTTTATAATCCTGGTAATGCTTATCTATAGAGTGATTCAATATCTAGAAAAATTAAATATGATAGATCAGGGGCATTAAAATAATTTAAGGATTTAAATACTATTTAAGATATGACAAATTGGCTTATTTTTGGTTTTCCTGATCTTTTTGAAGATAATCTATTTGGAAATAATGAATTAGCTATTTTAAAAGGTCAGAATCCAACTATAAAAAATGATAACACTGTTTTTGATTAGATTCTTAATTATTAATTATAAGAATATGCTTTTGATAATTTAATTAGAACTAGCTCATTAAATACTTTTAATATTGTTGTTAATGATATAATTAGAGTAACCATTAGAAGATCTTTAGTAGTAAATAATACAATGGAATAATTTTCTACCTTTGCTCCTGAAACTATGCTGTTATTTTTAGATTCTCCAACAGATAACTTAGATTCAGATTAGGAGAATTATGAAGGCTTTTATGATGCTGACACTAACTTCACTATTGATTATGATGATTCTAATGGATTTGAAGGTAATGGAGGATTAGTAATGTTATTAGAACCTAAATAATTAAGTCCTGTTATAGAATCTTTAGAGAAACTTAATTTAATTGATAGTGTCAGTTCGATAGCAATTTAATTTGTCACATTTAATCCAATAAATGCTAGAGGATTAGCACATATTAAATTATTATTTACTATCAATCAATGCGGTGCTTTATCTTTCAAATAAATTGATGTTTAAGGAATTAAGAAGAACTCTTTATAATCTGTTAGTGAAATCAGTATTTTAATCTTATCAGTCTCCTTAATTATTGCCCTATGTTATTATTTATATGTAACAATTAAAACAATGCTTCACAAAAATTTTTCATATGATAGATGGCATAGTACTTATATATTGCTGTCATTAAGTAGATCACAATTATATATGAGAGAGAGGCATATGCCTGAATTTATAAGAAAATCACTTTTTTTGATGGATATATCTTAATTACTAAATTTGTTATTTTTGACACTTTTGGGAGCTCAAATTACATTAATATTATACTATTTCTTTTAAGTTAATACTTTGATCTAAGGATCAGAAATATTTGGAACTTCAATTAATGACCTATTACCTTCGACATTATTTACTGTAAAATAAGATGTGGATTATTCCCTTTTTTTTACTTAGGTTTAAAATATTGGTGATAACAGTAAGCTAATTGGAGCATTTGGATCATGTGCAATATTGGTTCTATGTTTAGAAATTTTATATTTAATTTCGCATAATAAAGATTTTTAAACTTTAACAAATTCAATTAAATACACCTTAACTCATTTGCCATTTATTTTAGTAATTTTATTTGGAATTATTGTTGCTTTTTCATCTATGGCTCATTTGGTATTGGGAACAGATTTAATTTAATATTCTACATTTTTTGGTACTATTGTTAAAATGTTTGATTTCATTTCAAAAATTGATGATATATCATTCTTTCGTTTAGATGACAGAACTTTAGAATTTTATGTAATGATAATACCATACACAATCACAGTTAGATTTATTATTATGAATATGTTTTTAGCTATTACTCTTAGAGGTTATTTGTTGAGCAAAGAAAAATAAGCTGAAGAGTAATAAAATTAAAAGTCGCATCCTTTATCCTTGACCACTTAAGAATTTATTATGCTTTCTATTTAAATGTTTACTTTTAAAGAAAAACTTATAAAAGTTGGATCTGATTAATATCTTATGTAAATTATTAAATAATTCTAACCAGTAAAGATTTATACTTGTATAAAAGATAATATAAGAAATTAAACAAATTTAACAGCTATGAAGGCTTGGGCTGAAGAATGTGCAAAAGAAATAAAAGATGAAAAGGAAATAAGAAAACCACTTGATGTTGCTTGTCATGAATTATTGTAGGCATACATTGATTAAAATAATAAAGGAGAGTTTGATATTTTATAAAGATTAAATACAGATCCAAAAAGAAAACTGATTGAATTTTCTTTGAAATTTACATACCTAAACTACTTTAGATTTGCAATTGATTAATTAGATAAGTTTACTGTATTTTTTACTAAAAAAAGAGAATAAATCAGAGCAATTTTATTTTCAGACAGCAAAGGAGAAGATTTTTAAAAAATGGTTTATATATGTTCATTAGAAGCACAACTTGAGGAAAATATTTAAAGCATGACATTTATTAAATAAGAACTTTTAACTTTAGGATTTGACATTGGTGAAGCTGGAGAGATTGATAGTAAAGAAAATATTATCAAGTCAAAAAAAGAAAAATAATCTTTAAAAATATCTTTTTAAAATCCAATGTCAAATAAAATATTTGAAATATCAAAATAAAGGGATAAAAATTAAATTCAAAAAAATGAACCTGATCAATTAGAAAATGAATAAGATTCAGATAATTAATTTAAAGAATCATAAATTTAATAAACTGCAAAACCTTCTCAATTTAAATAAGCATAAACTCTAGAAGTTAAACAAGAAAACAAAGATTAATAATAAGGTGAAACGACTGAAAAGTCTACAGATGAAAAACCAAAATCTGATCAATAATAATAACCTGATTAAAAGATATAAAAAGGTTTAGTTAAAACAATGTTTTAAACTGGAGAGAAGAAATCGAAAAAATGATTAATTAGTAAATATTTATTTATATTATTAATAATATAATCAAATAATTTTGATATTAAAAAAAAACTAAATATTTAATAATTAATAATTAACGAGTTTTTATTTCTTCATATGCTTCGAAAAGACAGTTCTTACAGAGAGATATCCTTAACAGACTCCATAGAGCAAAAATCATTTTTAAACTTAGCCAGAAAACCATCAAATGCAGATTTTAAAGGTAAAACACCTTTAGGTGTAAAGGGCAAAGATAATAAGGAGAATTCTTCTGCAAGAATTCATTCTGATACACCAACACAAGACTTTTTTTTTAAAAGAGAAGTCATAAAATCAGAAAAATAACTACCAAATGAGAAAATAGCCATCTATAATGATGCATCAAGATTTTAATCATCTAAAACGTATATGGAATGTAGGATGGAGTAATTAGAATAACGTAAGAAAACCTAAAGTCCATAGTTGTTGTCAATGACTCCTGTTTAGAATAAATAAATCAGTTAAGAAAGATATAATCATCTTTAATAACCATAATAATAATAACAATCAGTTTAAAGTTCAATAAATTTAACTAGAAAAGCCTCAGTCGTACCTTCAAGAGGTTTATCTGCATTGACTACCCCAACTCCTAAAGAAGGAGATTTTAATATCTATAAGCAACAGAGCAGCATTCCAACATCTTATTTGGATTCAGTTGTTACTCAAAGAAATAGTAAAAATTCTACAGCTCAAGAATAATAATAATAATAATATTAATCATAATAATAACAATATTAATCATAATAACAATAATATTAATCATAATAACAATACTAATAATAATAATAGTAATAATAATAATAATAATAATAGTAATAGCAATAACAATAATAATAATAATAATAATAATTAGATTATAAAAATCCATCTTAAAAGTTATATTACATAACTTCCCTTATAAAAGCTTTTAAAATGAAAGGACCAAATTCAGCAAAAGAACATCTAATTCACAATATGCAAGTAATTTATTATAAATATGTTAAGGGTATAATAATTGCTAAGAAGTTAAAAGTGCCACCTGCAAAAAAGGCTATTATGTTACCAGCAACAGATAAAAAAACTCTTTTGTTTGATTTGGATGAAACATTAGTTCATTGTAATTCAAGTAGTTTTATACCTGGTGATGTTTTACTGAACATAAATCATGAAGGAGAGAAAATGGAAGTAAATAAATAATAAAATGATTAGGCTTCATTAAATATTAGACCTTACACATCTCATTTGTTATAGTCATTAAGTAGAAATTTCGAATTGATTGTATTTACAGCTTCATAATCACATTATGCAAATGCAGTGATTGATTATTTGGATCCATAGAAAAAATGGATAAGTCATAGATTTTATAGAGAACATTGTATTCCAACAGATGATGGCCATTTTATAAAAGATCTTCGTATTTTTACAACAAGAAAACTGAGTGAAATGTTATTAATAGATAATGCACCACATTCTTATCTTTATTAGATTTAAAATGGAGTTCCAATAATTCCATATATAGATAATAAATCTGATGAGGTATTAATTATGTTAAGATTGTAGGAATTGAAATCTTTATTGTAGTATTTGATGTAATTTAAGAATGTAAAAGATGTGAGAGAATTGAATATGTAATAAATGAAGCTACATCGTTTTTCAGAATATGATGATCCTTAAGAGCTATTAAAAAGTGAATTTAATGATTACTAATTATAATCCGTTTTATTATGATAAAATCACTTTTTATTTGTGTCTTGCTTTTAGGATTGTGTAGAGCATCACTTTCAGAGGAAGGTGAAGTAATTGCTTAATTGACATAATTGGAACAAAGTGAATTTGGTCGTTATTTGATTCATACACTATAATTGGAAATGGAAACATCAGATAGTTTAGACCATTTAATCAATGTTCTTGAAAAACTAGAAGGACGTTATTAAGAGGATTAAAAAGAGGATGATGCAAATAATAGAGTATATTAAGATTAATGTGACTCAGACATTGGTTAACTTGATAAAGATATTGCAAATAGCTAATATTCAATACTCTAATTAGAAGCTAAATTAGAAGGTAATCTCATTCCTGCTAAATCAATATAATAAGGTGTTGAAAAAGCTAAATTATCAGAAATTAAATGTAAATATATTCATTCTCATTATTTTAGAATACACCTAAGAAATTTAGGAACTTGATGAAGAGAGATAGGAACAAAATGAAGTTTATGAGGCTAAAATTGCTGAACATTTTGAAGCATCTAAAATTATAAGAGAAGCTTAAGCTATTATTAAAGATGGTCTTTAAAGACCCTCTCTTGTAGAAATTAAAAAGAATTCTAAAAGTGCTGTTAGAATTGCTCCTAACATTTTAGCTTAAGTCACTTCAAGTTTAAGTGGATCTATTAATAAAATTAGATAAACTCATAGATTTACTAAAGCATATGCAAGTATATTCAAAGTCTTGTTAACAATTATGAATAAATCTGAATCAACTGCTGATGAAGGATCTGTAGAAAAGTATATTAAATAATTTTAATTCTAGAATCATTCAATTATGTAGTGATTTATTAGCCAAAATAGATGATAGCACTAATTTAGAAAGATTTGCAGAAGATAAAAGAGTTTAAGCTTATGAAAAACATAAACATCTATTAAACAGAGATTTATAATCTGCATAATCTATTTTAGCAAATACTTAAGCAACTTTATAAAGGTATTTTATCTTCATATGTAATTAGTTTAAATGATTAAATTCAATAAGCCTAAAACTCAATTGAAACTATTTCATAAAGATTAGATTATTACTAAGACACTAGATAATAAAGATATACTGAATGTGAAGAAGCTGCTTATGATTATTAATAAGCTAGAAGTGCCAGAGATAACAATAAACAATTAGTTTCTGACTTAATTGGATTAGTCAATAAACATCTTAGAGTCCTAAGAGAATAATTAGCACTCAGAGTTGCAGCTGGTGATAATATATGAAATACATTTACATTATTTTCATTATTATTAATCTTAACTTCAAGGGGATAACAATTAATATAGACTTATTCATTATAAAACATCTCATAAAATACTCTCTTTTTTAAATTAGAATTATTATAAATATATTTATAAATGAATAATTAAGATAGTGCAGATCTAGACATATAACAAGAAGGATTTGATTTTTAATAATTGTTTGATAAAAAATGCAGTAATCAAGAACCTCAAAAAAATGAGATCTAACAATTTCATTAGCCTGAAAATCAATAAAGGTGCTAAGGTGATACTTTGTAAGCCTTAGTTAAAAATATTAAAATTGAAAAACAGGTTGCAGGAAGAAATAAGAAAAATAAAAAGATATAATGGAATGAAAAAAATACAAAAATATTTAAAGATCTCTATTAATAATATTCAGGCAATCTTGATTAAATCCTTTTATACTTTTAATAAAACAATGAATTAAATACAAAAATTGATATTAAATAAATTAAAGTATAATTATTGAATTAATATTTATAGAATAAATTTAAGATTGAAAAAAAAAAAAAAAACTTGACCTTATTATCATAGTCCTAACGAATATCAAAAAATCTAAACTACTAATTAAAGTTAGACTGAAATAATTTGGTTTTTATTTTATATAATCTGATATTTTTCTGATTAATTTTAAGTACATAAATTAATTCTTTTGTATAAAACTATATAAATGAATATTGTATAGAAAAAGAGGGAAGAATTTTCAATCAATATTAGAAAGTAAAAAAGGGAAGAATTGTTTAATTCAAAAAGAATCTCAAAAAACCAATATTTGCCTTTTTCTATTTCTAACTCAGAATTATCCTAAATTTATTCCAATGCATATTACTAAAAATAATGTCCTAATAATGTTTATCTTAATGAAACTATTTAAAAGATTTTTAAAATATCTGAATTAGCAGATGCATTTAATGAACATGATTGCGATAAAAATTATGATACAACCTCAGATGTTGAAATTATATTCGATAACATTAACAAAGGATATCCAGTATTAGATGTAAATTTTTTATATTTATTTCAGAGAGCTTGTTTACAAATATTACTAGCATTCACTCTACCTAATCATTAAACATGCAAACCAATTTTAAAATATATACCTGATTTATTAAAGTTTTTTATGGAAACTCAGTATATAGAACTAAAATAAACTGTGTTGTTTATTTTCTCTAACTTAGCAGCTGACTGTTATTAATGTAGAGATGCAATTTTAATTTATGAAATACCATAGGCAATATTCTAAGCAATTAATTCAACTACAACTGAATTAATTGATGATCTTACTTAAATTCTTATCAACATATCAAGAACTCAACCTTTAATGTCAAATTTTAATCAAATTTAAATGATTTAATTGTGTTGGAAATTATTTCCTTATTTATCAAACAATGAATCTATAGCTGGAATCTTGTAACTTATTTAAAAAATTTGTAAAAAAGATAAAAATTTATTGGATTTGAATTTTATGAATGATCTTTGCTTAAAAAATCAAAATTCTCAACTATTTTTAGATGAAATATTATCTTTGATCAAAATAATTTCATACTTTGACAGAGACAAATATGAACCTATCGAATAAAACATCTTGAATTTTTTAATTCTTAAAGTTAATTATAATTTAATACAAGAAAAATAATAGCAATATTAGTAAAGACAAATAAACAAAGTGTTGAGCATATTTATTAATATGATTGTTGAAAATCCAAAATTAATTTATAATATTCTCAATACGAATATAATTGAACTTTTTAAGTTTGATGAAAAATTATAATAGGTCAATAAGGAGATCTTTTGTAACATTTATTATTACTCTTTTTACTATTAAATCATCTGTAGTTTAAATTAAAATTAATTAAAGTAATTTATTTAATTATTTTAACCAATCATACTATTGATAAGCCTGCTGGATAAAAATATTGGTAATACAGATATTATAATTGATATTTTAAGAATTATCGAGATAATTATGTAAAAAAATATTGAATCAATTTAAGTATTTAGAGAATATAATGGTGAATAATACTTAGCTGAACTATCCTAACATGAAAATGAAGATGTGTATAAATTATGTGAAAATCTTTTTGAAATAATTATGTGACTTTTTATTTAGTATTTTTAATTGTAAAATAAAATCAATATTTTCATTATAGAATAAAATGTATGTGATGAGTAAATTAACATTGTAGAATTTTTTATTTTATGCAGAAATGATATCTTTATTGCCTCATTTTCTTTTGCGATTAATAGTATTTTCACAAACAACTGATCTTTTGCGATTAATAGTATTTTCACAAACAACTGATAAAGTATTTTCTATTATCTAATTGTTTAATATTCTAATTTTTTTCTCAATTTTTTTTAATTACTTAAATATTTAAAAGATTTGCATTATCTTTTATCTCTAGTTATTATTGTGCTTTCTCTACGATCTTATTAATTCTGTCCATTTCTTCCTATTTAGTAATCTTTTTCTTTAATTATAACAAGTTTACAAATTTGAATAAGATAGAATGTAATCAAGAATAATTATAATACATCTTAAATAGTAAATCTATGCCTAATTTTTTTAATAATATCAAGAATTTTTTCTATTTCAATGGTAAGGAAGCTCTAAGTAGAAATATATTTTATGATTTTTTCATAATATTTAACAGATCAATTAATTAAATTATAAACAATTCATGGATGGGACTGCAATTACATAGCTAAAATCTTAATTATAGAAACTGAAAGAGGAGAAAGAAGAATTATAAAATGATGTATAGGAAGAAAGAGCAGTTGTTGCTCAAATGTAATAAGAATTAGCATCTTTCAAATAATAGTAATAAATTTAAGGAGGACAATTGAGAGATAAAGAATTAGCACTTTAAGATTATAATCGTATGATTAAAGAAAGTGAAACTATATTGAAAAAGTTAATTGAAACATCCAGCAATTTTCTTAAAACACTAGAAGGAGAAACAAATAAGTTAAAAAATTAAAAGAAGTGAAATAATCAAAAATTTTTATCAACATTCTTAAATTTATAGAATTTGTTTCAATTTCAAAGAAGTTAAAATTTATTTTTGTAATTATACTATTTGTTTCATCTAATTAGTAAAATAAAATGAAATAGTACATAGATCTTAATTTAGATAAATTACATTAGAATATTAATTGAATAGTTGTTTTAATAAAGTGATTTAATAATCAAAGAAATTAATTCAATTTTTTTCTTCTAAAATAATGTCTCAACTCTAAATATATAAATTGAGAGTTTCAAATGAAACTAAATCTGCTATTAAAAAATCTATTCTAAAAAGTCCCTAACAATGTTTAAATCTTATTAACATCAGATTGGATTAGGTTGGGAATTAAATAATAAAAGGAGAATTAAATATAATATAGTTTCTAAATAAAATTGATACTGCTGGAAAATTTTTGGATATATTATCGAATGAAACTAACATTTGTATTAATAAAATAGAATAAGATGAATAAAAAGACCTTAAGGAGATAAAGTTGAAAAATAATACAAAAAATTAGTGTGAACAAATTTTTTAATCAAACTTTTTATTTTATTTGATGATTTATTTTAAACCTTTAAAGAATTATTGTATATAGGAAATAAAATTGAAAAACATTATTAACAATTTTGGAAATGTTAAAGATTTTCAAGATTTTTATAAAAAAATAAAAAATTACAACATATAGAGTTGAATCAATTAATTCAAAGAATACTATTCTTTTAAAAAAGCTGCTAAAATATTTATTTTATGAGGATTAATCTGTATAATGTTTCATCGCAAGTGCTAATCCATAATTTTTTTTGTGAAAAACTTCTTAAAAGTAGTGGTTTTTAAAATGAATTAATTTTTTTAAAAATTTCAGAAGCCTCTAATCCAGGGAGATGTAAAATTTATTCTTTAATTTTGGAGCAATCAATTTCTTAATAATTAAAATTGTATTTAATATCTTCAATTTATTAACAAGTTTAATTTTTATTTTCTGATCGTCTTGTCTGCAAATCTCTTAAGCCTAAAAATGAATAAGTAAGTGATGAAAAAACATCTGTTTACTTTTTTGTTTTAAGAGACATTTTAAATAATTCTGAATCTAAATTGTTTCCTATTTTTCGAACATGAATATTAATTAGTTAAATTAAATTTAATAAAGGTGCAGATAAACATCTTATAAAACTAGTTGTCAATATTACTAAAAGTAAAGATATTCCAATATAGATTTACACCTCTTGGATCATTTTCATCTTAACAGAATTTACTTATTCTTATATCTTTTATTCTGTTTCTATTTCGTAAGTCACATTTTTGAAACTTAAAAATATTTGTATCATTTTACACAATTAATGTTAGATTTTCTTTTTCAAAGCAGAAAGCATTGACAAAAACAATCCTATTAAAAATTTTATTTTCAAGATAGAAAGAAGCATCTTTAAATCTTTATGTAATGTTACTATTTGAATTAGCTTTGATAAATTCCCAATCTGTTTAATTAAATCCTGTTTTAGTTACATTAGTTATTTTAACAGTTAAATTTGTCTCATTAATAGTTTGCAAAGTACTCAAGATNAAAATTAGTGTGAACAAATTTTTTAATCAAACTTTTTATTTTATTTGATGATTTATTTTAAACCTTTAAAGAATTATTGTATATAGGAAATAAAATTGAAAAACATTATTAACAATTTTGGAAATGTTAAAGATTTTCAAGATTTTTATAAAAAAATAAAAAATTACAACATATAGAGTTGAATCAATTAATTCAAAGAATACTATTCTTTTAAAAAAGCTGCTAAAATATTTATTTTATGAGGATTAATCTGTATAATGTTTCATCGCAAGTGCTAATCCATAATTTTTTTTGTGAAAAACTTCTTAAAAGTAGTGGTTTTTAAAATGAATTAATTTTTTTAAAAATTTCAGAAGCCTCTAATCCAGGGAGATGTAAAATTTATTCTTTAATTTTGGAGCAATCAATTTCTTAATAATTAAAATTGTATTTAATATCTTCAATTTATTAACAAGTTTAATTTTTATTTTCTGATCGTCTTGTCTGCAAATCTCTTAAGCCTAAAAATGAATAAGTAAGTGATGAAAAAACATCTGTTTACTTTTTTGTTTTAAGAGACATTTTAAATAATTCTGAATCTAAATTGTTTCCTATTTTTCGAACATGAATATTAATTAGTTAAATTAAATTTAATAAAGGTGCAGATAAACATCTTATAAAACTAGTTGTCAATATTACTAAAAGTAAAGATATTCCAATATAGATTTACACCTCTTGGATCATTTTCATCTTAACAGAATTTACTTATTCTTATATCTTTTATTCTGTTTCTATTTCGTAAGTCACATTTTTGAAACTTAAAAATATTTGTATCATTTTACACAATTAATGTTAGATTTTCTTTTTCAAAGCAGAAAGCATTGACAAAAACAATCCTATTAAAAATTTTATTTTCAAGATAGAAAGAAGCATCTTTAAATCTTTATGTAATGTTACTATTTGAATTAGCTTTGATAAATTCCCAATCTGTTTAATTAAATCCTGTTTTAGTTACATTAGTTATTTTAACAGTTAAATTTGTCTCATTAATAGTTTGCAAAGTACTCAAGATCACATCTCCATTATAATTTACTAAAAATATACTCAGAGGTATGCTTTTAATATTTTTATCTTAAATCTCTTAGATTTGAGCTGTCATACCAAATAAGGTTTAATTAAACATCAAAGAATAAGTTAATGCAAAATAAGGCATAAAATTTCGAACAGATATGTAAATTGGAGAATAATAATATTCTGATTTGGGATTATTTTAATGTTGATTTATATGATTTTGGTACCTTAAATAGTATGATATATTACCAAGGTCTAGATTTAGGAACATAATTTTTATACTTATACATTCTTGGAAATTATGCAAATATCTAATTATTTGGGATATCAACAAATATAATTCTACTTTGTTCATCAGCCATAAATAGTTAAGTAAAAGGAGATAGAAATGAAAGCATTTTTTAAAGTAAAATTCCTTAATTATCATATTATTTTGTGTATAATCCTTAACAAATTATATCTGAATTGTAAATAATATTATTTTCTGTAATTTCTTCTTCTTCAATACAATCTTAGAACTAATTCACATTGATCTAGTAATCTGCTTAGAATCGAGTGAATTAATTAAACATCTATTATGAATGCCATAAATTTAAAATTACTAATAATAATTGATTAATCTATACTTTGATAATTTTTCTAGTGAATATAAAGTCGTATTTCTCGAGATATATTATTTACAATACTTTTCTCTTATTTTAATGACAATGCTTATTCGACATCTGAAATTATTGTGAAAAATATTGTTTATTATACATAGGCTGTTGAAATTGCTACAACAACAGCAAAAAAGATAATAAAAAAGTTAACGATTATTATCTAGTTGCTCATTTTGAGATTTTTAAACCATGAAATTAGTTTGCTAAACATCAATCAATTATTCCTTATTTAGCAAGATTTAATTATAAAATTTCAATCAATTAAGTTTGAATAAATTTTACATGATTAAAATTTATGGATATCGGATTGTAATGAATGAAGATCAAAATTTTAGAATTTTCAAATTAAACATATAATTTAAAATATTAAAAAATTTTAGAGTAGAAATTATCTCTAAATATCATATAATTTTCACTTATTTTTAAGTTTGTTGAAATGATATTGAAATATAATAGATTGAATTAATTTAAGTCTAATAAAAACATTAATTTAATAACAAATATCTTTTTGATTGTTTTTAAAAAACCCTAAATGCCATGATTTTGTAATTATATTTTTAAATTCTTATTTTCAGTTAAGTAATTACAAATAAGTTATAGTATAAGTATTTTATTATCTTAAATTAAAGAAGCATATTTGTTTAGATAGCATAATGAGAGAAAAAAAAAGAAAGTTAAATAAGTTCCAAAACAGTTTAGGTAAAATAATTAATCTTCAACTAAAAATTCTATAATTTTTTTGATTAAGACAGAATTTTTAGTTAATTTATTTCCAGTTACTTAAAGATGAGTAATAAATTAAGGAGTATGAAGCCGAATATAAATGAATATAATTAAAAATAATTTCTAAACTTCTTAAGATAAATATATCTTGGTAAATATAAATTTTAAATGATAATAAATTTATTTTATATAATTATTGTTATTATAATTCATTCTTTTATATTTTTAACTTTTTGTGTTTCCTCATTAAGTTAATCAGTTTGTCTACCAACAAAATGCATAGTTTCATTATGATGAATGAATTTAGTCTTACATTCCTAAAATTCATTAAAGTAAGATGTATGATCTGAAATAGAATATTAATATGTCCAAAGACTGTTAGAACATGAATCATCTTCAACAATCCCTTATTAACAAACTTTGAAAGATGTATTTTCTTCGTTATACCAAACTTCTTAAGGTAAATGAGCATAATAGAACGATAAAGGAGGTGTATGTACAACAGTATCTGCATAATGAGTTACTCTCCATTATTCTTTTGGTATTACATAATCTTCAAACCAAGTAGCAAATTCAATGTTACCAACTCTTGGAGCACCATATGTAAAAAAGTTATCTACTTAAATTCCTAATCTAGTGACGTCAACTGCCAATAATGCTGCAATAGCCCCTCCTAAAGAATGACCAGTTATTAAGACCTTAGATTTTGGATATTTTTCTTTGAGGGTTTTTGTGCAATTAATCATTCCATCTGAGATTGCTGTATATGTTTCCCAAAATCCAAGATGAACAGCACAATCTATACAATCTCCAAATTATTATTTAAAGAACTTTATATTATTAATCCAATTTGTTAAATCTTAGGTACCTATTGATATTTTAAATATTTCATTTACTTCTATAAACCAATACTATGTAATTTTCTTTTTGATTATAACCACAGTAAGCTTAACTTGAATAATTTCCTGCAAATGCTTATACATCTATCATATCAGGATGCTATTAACAATAGTAACCACAATCCCACTTAGCTATTTCTTCTGGATGACAAACGGCTATTTTAGTATAATGAAAAAATTGTTAAGCCAAAGAATGTGAATATATTTGATTTAAATACTATTTTTCTTTCAAAAATTTTTGGAACTATGTTTCAAGAAATCCTTTATCTGCTTAAGAAACATATAAAAGAAGTAACACTCCTAACAAAATTTTCATCCTAAATATTTAAAATATAATATTAAAATATATATTGATTTAGAATAAAAGGAGTAGAATTTAAAAAAAATAATATAATTTAGCAATTTAAATAAATCTATGATAGCTTTAAAGAAAAATTTATTATTCACATAATTTTTTAATATTTTAAAATTATCAAAAAAAATAAGTAACAAAATATAGAATGCATCATTCGAAATGATCTGAATGAATGAATTTATGAATTTTTGTGAATAATGTATATATGTATATCAACATAAATATTTAACATATACAGATAATCAATAAAATTAGATTTTGTATTATTTTAATGAATATATTCTTAATTAAATATGAAGAACACTTTTTTCCATAAAATTAAAAGATTCTTTAAAGGGTATGTAAATTCAAATAATAAATTAGTTCTCCTAATGAGTGGAAACATCTACCAAAAAGAATAATAAATCCAGGTTAGGCTGATTTATCATTACCAAATAATAAAATAATCACAAGCAAATATACTATATTTACTTTTCTTCCTTTAAATTTGGTTGAATAATTTAGCAAAATGGCAAATATTTATTTCTTAATCGTTGGAATATTGTAGATGGTTTACGTTAATATTATAATTAGATTCCAGCGATTACAGTATCTGATGGTTTACCAACAGAATATACTCCTTTAGTAGTAATAGTAATAGCGACAGCAATAAAAGATCTATTGGAAGATTTGCAAAGACACAAAGCAGATAAAAAAGAGAATAATGCAATTATATCAGAAAAAAAAAGTCAAGAAATAAGAGTAGGTGAATATATAAGAATTAATCCAAATGAGTAGATACCGGCAGACATTTTATTATTAAATTAAGAATGTTATGTTGAAACATCCTAGCTAGATGGTGAAACTGCTCTTAAACCTAAATAGCCAATTAATGAGAATATAGAATATATAGAAGCAGCAGGACCAAATCCATATTTATATTAATTTAGTGGTTCAATTAATGGATAAAAGCCATTAAATGAACATAATTTATTACTTAGAGGTTCTTGTTTAAAGAGTCTAGATCCAATTGATGGAATTGTAATATATACTGGTCATTAGACTAAAATTCTATTGAATTCACATAATCCTAGAGGTAAGTCAACTAAAATGTAATAAGTTATGAATAGATTAATTTTATACTTATTTATTGGACAATGGCTCTTATGTATTTTTTGTGCTTCCTATTTTACAATAGCATTAAGTATTAAAAAGTAAGATTTAGATTATCTTTATTTAAATCAACCATAAGTTACATCATTATTATATTTTAGCAATTTTTGTTAAAATGTAGGAAATTGGTTTCTACTTTTTGTTAATTTTGTACCAATAAGTTTAATGTTAACTTTAGAAATGATAAGATTATTTTAAGCATATTTGATTACCCAAGATTCAGAAATGAGTCCAAATACTAAGGTTTAATCTTCTAATTTAAATGATGATCTTGGATAGATTAATCATATTTTTTCAGATAAAACAGGCACATTAACAGCTAATTAAATGACTTTAAGATCTTATGTTTTTAAAAACTAAGAAATTAATTTATAAAGAGGAGATTCTTCATTAATTTTAAATAAGGAGAATATAATTTATTTACTTTAATTTATTTTTTGTAATGATATTAAAATAAAAAATGGAAATGTACTATCCTCATCAAGTGATGAAATGGCTTTGATTAATTATTTTTTAAATCAAGGAGTTGAATTAGCAGAAGATGACAACAATTACTTGATAAAAATAGATGATTAAATTAATTATAGAATTGAAAAAGTTTATTTAATTTAATTCAGTAGTGATAGAAAACGAATGTCAATTATTGTTAGATTTTAAAACTAATTATATTTATTTTGCAAAGGAGCTGACTCTGTAATTCTTTCAAGAATCAAATAATCAACAAATTATTAAGAATTCATAATATCTGCTAGTCAGGAATTTGCTAATTAAGGTTTGAGAGTATTATTATTCTCATATAAATAATTATAAAATTCTGAATTTTAAGAGTGGCTGGAATAATATGAAAAAGCATTGATTCAACAAGATGAAAAAATTTTGGATAATCTATAAAATTAATTAGAAATAAATCTTATTCTTTCAGGAGCAAGTGGTGTTGAAGATATTCTAAGCGAACATGTTTAAGAAACAATTTAAGAACTATAATGTGCTAATATCCAGATTTGGATGATTACTGGCGATTCTTATGCTACTGCAAAAGGAGTTGCAAAAAAAATAGGACTTATGAGTTCTAGATCTAAATCAATTTTAGTTGAAAATTAAAAATTATAATAAATTGGAACTTAAGTATTTGAATCAGAAAAAAATGCAAAAAATTAATACGAAATTAGTTTAATAATTTTAGGCTAAATTCTTATCGACTACACAATAGAAGATAAATTAAATTTAATAAAATTAGCCAAAGAATGTTAATGTGTGATTTTTAGTCGTGTTTCTCCTAAACAAAAAAGAGAAATAGTAGAGTTATTTTAAAAATGTTACCCAAGTTTTTGCACTTTAGCAATAGGAGATGGTGCAAATGATGTTAATATGATAACTGAAGCAAATGTAGGAATAGGAGTTTGTGGTATCGAAGGTTTATAGGCTGCAAGAGCATCTGATTATGCGATTCCCAAATTTAAATGTCTTTAACAATTACTTCTATTTCATGGTAGAGAATGTTATAGAAGAAACACTTAAGTAGTTACCTACAATTTTTATAAAAATGTACTCTATTTGATACCATAATTTTGGTTTGGTTTATACAGTCAATTTTCAGCATAATCAATCTATGATTTTTATGTCTTTCAATGTTATAATTTCATGTTTACATCTCTACCTATTATAGTTTATGGAGTATTTGATATTAAATACAATGATATTATGCCAAATAAATATAAACTTGGACAAGAATCTCATTATTTGAATTTCAAAGTGTTTATTCTGTCAATGTTAGAAGGAGTTTATTAAAGTGTTTTAATTTTTTTCTTTTGTTTCTATTTTTTAAATACAACATCTTCTAATGGATTTGATTATGGATTATTAATACAAGGATAGATAATATTTTTAATATGCATTATTGTGGCTAATACAAAAATTATACTTCTATCACATCAGATCTAAGCATTGTAGATAATAATACAAATACTATCTTATTTTTCTTATATATGCACTATATTGATATTCAATAATGTAGTGGAATATTAACTCTATGGAGTGCTTTAAGAAATTTTATCATAAGGAATTATGTATATTATTGTATTATTTGTTTCCTACCTAACTTTAAGTGTTATCATATATCAAAAGAAGTACGAATTTTTTAAGTCATTAGAAAAAGTTTAACAGTCTCAATCAACAGCAATAAATGCATCACTAATAACTTTATGAATTTTTTGATTATGAAGGAATATAAAAAATTATTAAATATCATTTCATAATTAATTGAATCCTTAATCCTCTCAATCTAAGTAAATAATGTTTAAGAATTCGTCTTCTGGATCCTTCTTCTCCTCCTAAAATCTGGCAATTTGATATCTAGGAATATATAATTTGGGAATACCTTCATGTAATATTTCATTTCCAATATGAAAGTATAAAGATTTTATTTAGAATAAATCTCAAATTTATTTTTTTTAAATATCATATATTTCAATTATATGAAATCTTTTAGTTAACAGATATAAATATATTATAATTAAAAGTACGATGGAGGTCTTTATAGAATCATAGGAATCATATTATGAAAACAACTAGATTTTCCCTGAAAATTACTTGACCTTTTTTGGATAGTGAGTTATTACGAAATGTTTTTGTAGTTCATTTTAGACTATTGCATGTTTATAAGATTTTTTATATAATTATTATACATATAATAAAATACATCAATTTTTATATTTTTTTCCATCAAATGCTCCTTAAATTTAAGAAAAGGTGGCTTATTTATCCCATTCTAATAAAATATAATTTGAGTTGTTAACATGCAAACAATTTAAAATGACATAATTATGATAAATTAATGCATAATTATCTACTATATCCAATTTTTAGCCACTATCCTTTTTTTCTTGTGTCAGCATTTTACTAAATTCCTATTCCTTAACTTCTTTAGGTGGGACACCTCTTTAATGAAGTCGAATGAAATGATTACTTTAATAATAAGATCAAGATTCATACTTGGTAAATAATAACATTCTTTTACTATCTTGATTATCTGTGATTGCTCCTCTTATTGGATCTTTTAAAAGATTAATATTGAGTGGAGAATGCATCATATGTTCTTTAGAATATGAATTCATTTGCCATTATTATTATTAGAAATCATAATTGTAAATAGCAAAAATGTGAGAAGCATAAGTAACAAGTATTTTATTACATTTACCATTAATAATTAAGATATTAGTAGCATAATTTTGATTAGATCTGCAATCAATTTCATCGACTTTATTGTTTATGATATTGACAGATATGAATTTTTGTAAATGAGGATAAGTTATAATCAAAATTTTCTTATTAACAAATTTCATTAATTTTGGTTAGCCATGAATTAATTAAGCTATAAATTAGGATTAACCATTAAATTTATGCTTGAAAAGTTTATCATCTTTGTCTATGCTATAAAATGTATTTAAAGTATGATCAAACTCCATACTTTTGAAATGTGGATAAATTTTGAATTTTTTAAATTATTTATCAATTTCATTCATGATAACAGTTTAATCACTTTATCCATAGCACAAGAATTTTTTAGTTAATTTAATAAAATGAGCTGGTTTTTAAAGTTTGAATTCACACCAATATATAGGATCTGATTCAATATCATAAGACAGTAAATCGACAGAATCATACTTATTAATAGCTATGTATTAATGATTACAAATGAATTGTTCGCTTCTTGGAATAGTGAAAATATGTGTAAATTAATTTTATTATAAGAGTTAACCATTGTGATCTAATTTATAATAACAGATATCAGTATTCAAACCTCCAGATATAAGAATATTGTTTTTAATGATTTCAAATGCATATATATCATGAGATTATCCTCTTATTTATTAAGTAATTTAAAATTATGATCCATTGTAAGATAAACAAACAACTTTGCTATCAACTCCACTTACATAAACATTGTTAAGATTAGGATATAAAGTAAGAATATCTGACATGTGTGTTTAAATTTATTGAATTTCTGTATTAAATGATGTTTCATAAATAATGATACTTCCATTAGATGAAGCAATGAAAAGATTATTATTACAAATACACAATTTCCAAGGAATAATTACATTAGCTTTGGCTATTTTTGAACTGCTGATGTTTAATTACCATGTTTATTGTTGTAATAATGTTTTATAAGTTAATTATCTGATTGATCCATTAGAGAAGGATGCATAAACATATTCTTTATTAATAGCAATAGATAAGCATTAGCAATCTAATTATTATGATTATTGTATTTGGTAAAGTTTATAGTTTTAACAATCAAATTTTCTGATGGAACCATCACTACAAGCACATATGAACTATGAATCAATAGTTGAAATTGATTGATAAATATTAATATTATCTGGCAATTAAAAATTATTTAAAGGTTTATAATCGTGAATATTAAATAATGAAATTTGACCACTCAAATATGCACATATGAAATCTATGGTAATTATTAAGATATATACATTGTTCATCTATCCAAAATAGAGATCTAATTTGACTGTTGATAGAACAACATATTGAAATTTAAGTATAAGTTGGATAAGAATAAATTTCAATGATTCCATTTTCTTTACCAACTAACAACAATTGTTAATTCTAATTATTTGAGAGAGCAGTGATAGTTGATGGTAAATATGGAATTTGTTTGTGATATAAAGAAACATGAGCTTTTTCATATTACTTTTTAATCTGTGGTTGTTCTATTTACATTATTTTAATTAAATAAAATATATATATCATGGTATTAATGAATCATTTAGCAATTCTTAATGTTCAATTACAGTAACATCATTATTATCTATGACACTTTCTTCAATAAGCATTTGATATGGAGGTAATGCAGGAGGATGTAAAATATAGCTGATTTCCATATATTATAAAACAGTATCACCTTCTAAAATAGTATATAATATAATTGATTACTTGTTCCATAAGCACAATGATAAGTAGATGATTTCTTATCAACATATTCTCCACCAACTTTAATGTAAAAATTACCTGCTCTGCTATGTACATCAAATCCTGTAATACCTTAAGCCAATACATTTTAATGTGATTCGAAAATAAAAGAGGAAGGAACTTCTCTTTCAAATCTTTATACTCTCAATTTCATTCTATTTTCATTGTCCAAAAATTAATTAAAATAATTATCAGAACTACCCAATGTTCCCATTATTGTAGAATAATCAGATGATATAAAATATGCTATTCTAAGAGTATTAATATGACATCTATCTCTAGTCAAAAATCTAACAGGAGTTGCACTTCCTGTTGGTTTACCTAACTAAATTTAAATAGTTGTAGTCAATGAATCATACACTTCAATTTCAGCTCCTACGATAAATGCTACTACTCTAGGAGTTGGATATTTTAAGTAATATTGAACCATGAAATCTTAAAATCTAGTTCCAAATCCTTGTCTTAATCGAATCAAATCTTCAAATTGATAATTAACATATTGCACTTCTGCTTCAGAATCTACAAATGCTACCCATCTTACTCTTAAAATTGGAATTATTGCTGGACCATTAATTAAATAGTTAATATAAAACCCTTTTACAGTCACATCTGAAATGAAAGTTTGATAATTTATATTCCTATTCTTATTCCATTCTATTTCTTCATGCATTATTAAAACTTAAGGTCGTCTATTCTATTATTCATTATTCTAACCTACTGAATTATCTGGGAAATTAGACTCTTGTGAACATTTACAAAGGATAGACAGGTTCTACAAATTTGTTTTGTCTATTAATGGTTCTATCAATCCCTGATTACCATTCTGTATAACCATCATACCCTAACTATCCTAAAACACTAACACATAAAATTGCTACGATTATAAACATTTATATTAAAAAAACGATATCAATTATAAAATAATTCTCATATAAATTCAACCAAACCATACTATTTTACATTAATCAATCAAATGCTTCTCTCATTTCCCATTATTACAAATAATAATTTTCTTCAATCCACTCTTCAAATTTAATTAATTGCTTTTTTCTACCAAATTCATTAATTTATCCTTCATTTCTTCAATATCTACATCACCTTATTCTTAATCATAGTTTCTCTTTCTTTTCCAATTTATAAAATAAATCATCACTTAATACAGATCATATCCATCATGAATTTTAGCTTAACCGACATCTTTTATTACTCATTAAATTCTAAAACCTATTTTTAATCTAATTAATTTTCGAATACGATTTCTTATAATTCCATCTTTTCTATTTCTTAAACTATTAAAAAAATATATAAAAGTTTTAGTAATAAATAATTTTGTTTGAAGGATTTTAATTCTTATGAATGTCAAAAATATTCATTCCTGGAAGTGCTTAGAAGATTGTTTCGATTTTTCAAAGTGATTTTTTTAGAAGATAAAACTTTGATGATTTCTTTGAACAAATTTAACTATAATTTAAATCATAATTAAATTAATAGCATCAGAAGAATAGAAGCTATTTCTTATTTTGGTTACTAAATTCGAAAAAATGTATGAGTGATTAGAAATGATAAATTTTTTAAAGATTTGTTATAAAGAGTGAATATAAAATTAAGTTGCTAAACATAATAAATTTTATTCATGTAATATTAAGGCTTTAAAGATGTAGAGAATCAAACACACTCTCTTTTAAGTGTTGAAGAACTTACTGATCTATTTATTCTAAATAAAATAAATGATGGTCAAAGTATGAGCAAGGTTAAATAACTTGGGGATGATATTGGCATAGCTAGAAAGTTAAACTCGGACATAAAAGTAAATATACACTCTTAAAGTTTGTAGTAAGGACTTGGAACAGAAGCAGATGTATTAAAGAATAGAGAAATTTTTGGAGACAATTTACCAGTTGAGAAAGAACCGACAACTCTTTGTGAATTGATAATGGAATGTTTAGAGGACACTATGCTTAGAATTTTATTACTAGCAGCACTAGTATCAACAATAATTGGTATAATTAATGAAGGATTGGCAACAGGATGGACTGAAGGGTAAGTTGATTATATTATGCATTTAGAGCAACGATTTTTTTTGCGATATTTCTAATCATATCAATAACTGCAGGGAATAATTATTTGAAAGAAAAATAATTTAGATAGTTGAGAAGAAGATTGGATGATGGCAAATGCCAAGTTATTAGAGGAAATAAGGTAACGGAAATTGCAACCAAAGATTTAGTTGTAGGAGATATTCTTTTGTTTAATTTAGGAGATCTCTTTGTTGTAGATGGTATATTATAGGTCAATTTTATAGGTTTGATGATATAAGGAAGTGCAGTTAAAATGGATGAATCTGCAATGACAGGAGAAAGTGACGAGATAAAAAAGTTACCTTATTAAGAGATGGTTCAATAAAAGAATCAGTAATTAAATCCAGATGCTGCAAGAGGTCATACAAGTCCATTTTTAATATCTGGAACAAAATGTTTAGATGGAACAGGCTAGATGTTAGTTCTTGCCGTTGGATAAAATACAATATCAGGACAATTAAAAAAGTTATTAATATAAGATAATCCACCAACTCCATTACAATAGAAATTAGAAGGAGTAGCTTCAGATATAGGTAAATTAGGTGTAATAGTATCAATATTTACATTTATTGCATTAATGGGTCATCTTGGATATGATATTTATTAAGGGAAGATATAATTTTAAAGTCTGAAAACTTTGTAAGTTTTGGTAGAATCATTTATGATATCTGTAACAATCATAGTAGTGGCAGTTCCTGAAGGATTACCTTTAGCAGTGACTATAGCATTGGCATATTCAGTTGGAAAGATGAAAGACGAATAGAATTTGGTTAAGAATTTATCATCTTGTGAAATAATGGGTGGAGCTAATAATATATGTAGTGATAAGACTGGAACATTAACATAGAACATTATGCAAGTTACTGCATTGTATGTTGAAAATAATACAATAAAGGATTAAGTACATACATTAAAATCTAAGTTAAATAAGAAAACTATAGAATTAATGTGTGAGAGTATATGTTACAATTCAAATGCATTTCCATAAAAAGATAAAGCAACTAATAAGTGGATTTAAATTGGAAATAAGACTGAATGTGCTTTATTGGAATGTGCAGATAATTTTAATTATAACTTTTCTTAATATAGACCAAGTGATAAAATTCTAAGACAAATTCCATTTAATAGTAAAAGAAAGAAGATGAGTACTGCAGTATATAATCCAAGTACTAGATTTATAAGAGTTTATACAAAGGGTGCTTCAGAGATTGTCTTAAATTAATGTATAAAGGTCGTGGGTCCTGGAGGAATTGAATAAGCATTAGATTAGAATGCAAGAAATTAAATATATAACAATGTAATATAAACATTTGCTTCAGAATCTTTAAGAACAATTGCAATTGCTTATAGAGATTTGGATCCTCATTCTTAGAATTCTAGTGCGTTAGGATAAATTCCTTAACTTACTTAATATAGTTAATCAATTTAAGAAGATGATTTAGATAAGGATTTAGTTCTAATAGCTATAGCTGGTATTAAAGATCCTATAAGACCAGATGTACCTAATTCAATAAAGTAATGTCATGCTTCAGGAGTAATGGTAAGAATGGTTACTGGAGATAATATATTAACAGCTACAGCAATAGCTAAAGAATGTGGAATTCTTTAAAGCGGGAAATAACCAGGATAATATGAGGTTGTAGAAGGCAAGACATTTAGAGAATTTGTAGGTGGACTTAAAACAATTAAAGATAAAGATGGAAATGAAATTAAAGAAGTAGGAAATAAAGAAAATTTTAAAGTTATAGCTAGAGATATGAAAGTAATGGCTAGAGCTTCTCCTGAAGATAAATATATCTTAGTTACTGGTTTAATTGCTGAAGGCAATGTTATTGCAGTTACTGGGGATGGTACTAATGATGCTCCAGCATTAAAAAAAGCAGATGTTGGATTTGCTATGGGAATTACTGGATCTGATGTTGCTAAGGATGCTGCAGATATTATATTACTTGATGATAATTTTAGTTCCATTATTACAGGTATTGTAATTTGCTATTTTAGCTATGAAATGGGGTAGAAATATTTATGATTGTATTAGAAAATTCATTCAATTTTAACTTACTGTTAATTTAGTAGCTTTATTCATGTCTTTTTTAGGAGCTGTCGTTCTTAAAGAATCACCATTAAATACTATTGAAATGTTATGGGTCAATCTTATTATGGATACTTTTGCCTCCTTAGCTTTAGCAACTGAACCACCTAATATTACTGTTCTTGAAAGATAACCTTACAAAAGAGAAGATAAAATTGTATCTCCTACTATGAATAGAACTATTGTTGGAGGATCTATCTACTAAATTGTTGTTCTTTGCATTATCTTATTTGTCCTACCTAAATATATGGACTTATCTATGCCATAAGAATTAATTGGACTTAAAGTATTCTATTTTATTATTTATTTAGTTTCATAAAAATGTAGTTTAAATGAGTATATTCTTCTAATCCTTTGTTGTTATGCAAGTATTCAATTCTATTACTTGCAGATAATTGGATTACAAAACTATTAATCCTTTTACAAATGCATGTAATAATCCATTGTTTTGGGGTGTATAAACATTCACTCTTGTTATTTAATGTGTCCTTATCTAATTTGGAGGTAAGTTTGTTAAAGTTTCTCATTTAACTCTTCAATAACATTTATTATGTTTAGGATTTGGAGTTGGTAGCATTATCTTCTCAGTTCTTGTAAAATTCCTAATTCCTCAAAAATGGTGTCAAAGTGTTGAACTTTTCAGAGAAGAAATTATTACTCAAGAAAAAATGGATGATACATTAGCTAGTAGATTAAGAAGAAAATCAACTACAAGATAAAGAAATAAAAAAACAGAAAATTCAGATTATGTTACTGTTAAAAGCATGTAATTAAGTCATTAAAGAATATGAAAATATTAAATTTAAGTTTAATTAAGGAATCTTTCTTTTATTATTGTCATCTTTAACATTATAATTAACAATTAATAATAAAATTTATTCATTTAGAAGGTAATTTATCTATATGATGAAACATATGGCTTTCGTNAAGGCAATGTTATTGCAGTTACTGGGGATGGTACTAATGATGCTCCAGCATTAAAAAAAGCAGATGTTGGATTTGCTATGGGAATTACTGGATCTGATGTTGCTAAGGATGCTGCAGATATTATATTACTTGATGATAATTTTAGTTCCATTATTACAGGTATTTAAGTTTTCTATTTAGCTATGAAATGGGGCAGAAATATTTATGATTGTATTAGAAAATTCATTCAATTTTAACTTACTGTTAATTTAGTAGCTTTATTCATGTCTTTTTTAGGAGCTGTCGTTCTTAAAGAATCACCATTAAATACTATTGAAATGTTATGGGTCAATCTTATTATGGATACTTTTGCCTCCTTAGCTTTAGCAACTGAACCACCTAATATTACTGTTCTTGAAAGATAACCTTACAAAAGAGAAGATAAAATTGTATCTCCTACTATGAATAGAACTATTGTTGGAGGATCTATCTACTAAATTGTTGTTCTTTGCATTATCTTATTTGTCCTACCTAAATATATGGACTTATCTATGCCATAAGAATTAATTGGACTTAAAGTATTCTATTTTATTATTTATTTAGTTTCATAAAAATGTAGTTTAAATGAGTATATTCTTCTAATCCTTTGTTGTTATGCAAGTATTCAATTCTATTACTTGCAGATAATTGGATTACAAAACTATTAATCCTTTTACAAATGCATGTAATAATCCATTGTTTTGGGGTGTATAAACATTCACTCTTGTTATTTAATGTGTCCTTATCTAATTTGGAGGTAAGTTTGTTAAAGTTTCTCATTTAACTCTTCAATAACATTTATTATGTTTAGGATTTGGAGTTGGTAGCATTATCTTCTCAGTTCTTGTAAAATTCCTAATTCCTCAAAAATGGTGTCAAAGTGTTGAACTTTTCAGAGAAGAAATTATTACTCAAGAAAAAATGGATGATACATTAGCTAGTAGATTAAGAAGAAAATCAACTACAAGATAAAGAAATAAAAAAACAGAAAATTCAGATTATGTTACTGTTAAAAGCATGTAATTAAGTCATTAAAGAATATGAAAATATTAAATTTAAGTTTAATTAAGGAATCTTTCTTTTATTATTGTCATCTTTAACATTATAATTAACAATTAATAATAAAATTTATTCATTTAGAAGGTAATTTATCTATATGATGAAACATATGGCTTTCGTTATTAAAATATTCTCTAAATATTTGATTTTCACTCAATTATTCTTACATTCCAGGATGTAAACCAGTTATATAAACTTAAGTACTATTTTCTATATTTTAATATATCTATTATACTTCTCATATTATCAATTATTATAGCTAAACTATCCACTGCTTGAAAATCAAATACACAAACATAACGGAAACTTATTATAAATATGTCAGTCTTTGCTAACTCTTTTATCTAATCTATATGACCTTTGATATTTATATAATTTAAAGCTCCATTAAATCTATATACTGTAAATGTTCCTTCAATATTTGCAGGTATATCGTTGCATTCTTCTTCAAATTCATGGAGATCTGAATCTCTTAAATTTATCTAATAAACTCCTTCCTTTTGATTTGTCATTACTTCTGCAGATGGGGAACTCATTTTTTATGCAAAAATAATCAAAGCGTGCATACTTCCTATAAGAGTACTTTAAATAGCGCCATAATTCACACAAAGCCATGCTAAACAAAATATATAGAATAAAATTAATTTTCTTTAGGTTCTGTATAAATTAAGATAGTAATGCCAAGGTGGAATATTGATAATCATATACAACAATTACCCACTTATAATATAAAAAGGTATTTTCATAAAGAATTTACTAAATACTCCATAAAAGAAAAGTATTGATAAAGCATTTAAAATTGATGACCATTGATTTGTCTTTCGTAATTTAATATCTAAAATGTACATTCTTGAAGATGCACAACAAGGCAAACCACCAAAAATACCACTTAAAATATTTGCTGTTGAAACACATTATATTTCTTGATCATAATCACATTTAACACCACTTAAAGATTGTCCCGCTCTTGCACAGAATTAATTTTAAATTAGAATAAAAAGTGTAATAGGTATAGCTTATGTTAAAAGATGACTAACAACTTAAAAATCAGGATGAAATTTAGGCCCCTCATATTCTATAAAATTAAAATATATTGTGACATCTCCATATGCTGATTTTAAGCATTTTTCGGTTGGATAGATTATACCTAAAGTCAATCCTGTCAAAGTTGTTATCAAAATCCAGGGAAATTATCTAAAAAATATTCTACCCAACTACAAGAAGAGGAAAACAGTCCATGCTCCAATAAAATAATTTAAATCTCCTCTTTCGGAAAAAGATTTAAACATATCGTAAAACGTTGAATAAAGTTCGACACCTCTATTAGAATGATTATCTGTTAAGCCAAACATATAATCACTATATGAGAAGAAGAATAAACTTGCAATGCCTAATAAAAATCCTTCTATAACATAAACAGGAATAAAATCTGATAAATGATGCCATTTCAATAGGCCTGCAATATAGATATAGATTCCTACAATAATTGTGATCCAAGGCATAACTTCAACACCATATGTCTTTACTAATTGATAGTTTAGACCAATAACAACCCAAGAAGGCATATAAATAGAGTGATTACCTAGTGAATCTTAAAAATATACTTCCACTAAAAAATCCATTAGTTAGAGCAGCTATAAATGCAGTAGTGACACCAACAGAAGCGTTGCAACCTGAACTGCTACCAATAGTTAAGTGAAATGGCATATTTAAAATTGCTTAAGCCATTCCACTTTTCCAAGAATCTCTAAGATACGTTAATCCACTTTTAAAACTGTGAACAGATAAATGTTCAAAGCTAGATTATTTTTAGATTTTGCTAGGTTTCTCTTTGGGGAACGATTATTGATTATCATTTTAATTAAGTGTTGGAATTTCAATTAAAGGTTATTAAGACATTAATAATATTAAAAAAAAGACATGTAAAAGTTGATTATTTTCACCTTATTATTACTAACAATATCAGGAAGATTAGATTCATAAGATCCAGCAGTAGGAAAAAAGAATACAAGTTCAAATAAATAAGAGAGTGATGTTATGAAATATAGAAGAGCAGCAGCTATGGCAAAAGAAGAATTTTAAGGTATGGAATTATGAATAATATTTAATAGAACTATGTGGTCTAAATGGTTTCGTATGGAAATAAACAACTTAAGTAGACACATAAGTCGTTTCTGGATTTAATTATAGTATTTATGGTAAGGTTTAGAAAGGAGATTAAACTAGAACTGTTAAGGTTTCCTTTTATATTCCTGCAGGATAAGACACAAGAATTAAAGCTACGGGTTGCAATATTGTTGGTTGAATACAATAAAACAATATATATATTAATAATGCCATATTCATTTAAACTCTTAGTTCATGATGTATAACTACAAATTACAGATCCAATATTAATTTCAAATCCATCACTTTCATTTACAATAGCTAATTATCCAAAAATTATAGTTAACGGAAAATCTCCTATTAGTAATATAAAAGGTACTTATGATTAACAGAAATCATTTGGTCACGGCAAATCGATATTATTGCATTTAAGTTAAGATAAAATGACTGACATATTGAGAGAAATGCCCCTTGAGATTTTATTTTTGAATGGTTAAGCAATTGTAGCTGGTGCAAGAATTAATCTAGAGCATTTTATACCTGATATAGATTCAGAATTAAAGTTCAAAAGAGGTAATTTTCATTTACTTGATCATTTTGGAAAACCATATCTATTAGCTGATATATCAATTAGCATTCATGATCCTGATAAAATTCCTGAAATTTTAAAAGAAGAAAAAGAAAGATAAAACTAAATGATGAAATTAAAATAACAGCAAGATTATTTATAATAATTAGACTAACCAAATGATCCTGAACCTGTTCCAGATTAAATTGTTTATAATAAAAAGAAAAAATAAGACTCTACTCCTAAAAATTAGAATTCTTATCATTATACCTAATCTGAATAAAGAAGTCCAAGAAATAATGAAGATCTTTAATTATAAAATTAATAACCAAAAAAGATAGTTCAATAATAACAACCTTAATAAAATATTTAGTCTATTTAACCTAAAATATAATAAAGACCTGTAAGTGCTACACCCAAATCAAATTATGCTCCTAATTCTAGATAACCAAATAGTTTTCATGAATCTAAAGCATCTCAAAAGTAGTCTATTAAAAAACCATTAAAGCCTGCACTTAAAGCTAATTAAAAAACACAAAAATCAATTACCCCTTCAAATCCTTAAATATAATAAACATTCAAAAAGAATCCAAATTCTGTTATCATACCAGAACCAGATGAAATAAAGGATATTCCTATTACTGAATGGATTAATTAAGTTTATTGTCCTCCACCTATGTTTCTAGATAAAAAAGTATATGTTCACAAAGTTTATAATGCTCCTGAAGAATAAGTTGAAAAATATGTTAAACCTGCTAAATTCTATTCTGTAGCTGTCCAAACTGAATTCTAATTACCAACTTTCAAAACTGAACAAATCTAATACCCTTAAGATCTGTAGGACTTAACACCAAAAGATAGAGTTTAAACATAAACAGTTGTATCAGATAATTATCAAGAGGACTTCGAAAGCTTTGTTTAATCTTAATCTTAATATTCATAAAGTCAATAACTAAAATAATCTAAAACACCCAAAAATTAACCTAATTCTAATAGAAGAACTAACTCTATATAAGAAGCTGTTGAAGAAGATGTTATTTCAGATATCTATTCATAAGATTTTGAATAAATTAGTTAAAGTTAAACTTTTAGAAGGAGTTTATCAAAAAAAGATGATATATCTGATTCATATATTCCAGATTTTGAATCTATCAGTCAATCCTAATAATTTAGAAAAAAATGATTGTTAATTCCTTTATATTTAATATAGTTATTTCATTATATTATCTAATCAAGCTTATATAAACATCTAGAAACTAAAATAGAAATTTTATATTTAAATATTATATAATATATTTCAATTATAAATTACTAGAAGTAATTAGGTTATTTCCTTCTATAAATCTTACAAAATAACCTTTTCAACAGGGTTATTCAAAACATCAATTCTTTAAAAAATGATTAAGCAAAGAATTTTTACGTAAACTATCAAAGAGACTTAAATCAAAGTGAAAAAAAATTAATTGAAATAATATGACCTTTAATTTAATCCTTTGTGAAATCTAAGAGAATTAAAAGAAGAAATTTAAATAGTATGATAAAAAACAACGAAAGTTAAAGAATTGAACAGAAAAGCACATAGAATTAAAATTTTTATTTATCACAAATAATTTGTCTAAAAAAAATTTTAAATTTTTATTTTCATATTTCAATACATAAAAAAAAAATATACATGAAGAATATTGATCTTTATATCATTTTAAAGACCATTTTCACTTACAATAGCATTTTTCTTCATATCTAAATTTCTTAAAATTCTTTATTATGTAAGAGTTTAAGATGTATAAAAACATGTTACTAAAAACTATACTTAATGAATAAGGTGCAAATAATATTTTAGTTAAATAAAAAGAAATATTTTTATTAATGTAAATTTTGATATAATATATGATTCTATAAAATTAATATAATTTTTTGATTTATCTTAAATTCATATAATTTATGATACAATTGAAAATTGGTAATTCAATAGTTTTTACCATACTTTGTAGAAATAGATAAAGTGTAAAATTCTTATGTTTTTGTGAATTTCCCCTCCTTTAGCTGTTACATGGCTTTAAGAAAAGATATATAAATAATCGTTTCGAAACTGTAATTAATAGTTAATATCTAGTTCAAGGATTATGATTTGTATTTCAGATTAATTAGCTGAACTTTTATATATATTCTTACAAGTAAATATATTTGAAATCAAATAATAACAATAAAACGATATTTATATCTAAAATTGTATAAGAATTTAATTATATAGAAGGTATCAAACTTTCATTAAAGATCCAAGTTCTCAAAAGAATGTTTTCTTCCTAAGTCTAACTTTCTTCCTTTTAATACTAGTGGATTATTAAAAATGCAAAGTTCCTTTACATTTACTTCTGAGGGACTTACTTCAGTTGTTGATAGGAATGTTTCTTCTTCATCTGAACTATCATTTTCATCCTTGGAAACGAATACTTCAATTATTTTAGTTTTTCTAATATATAGTCTAGTTAAAATATTTACTAATGATGTTCTTATTATTTTTTAAGTGGATCAGTTTTCATAATTATACCTAGTTGCTTTAAATATGTGATGATGTTCTATTCTATTTGATAAAGAGCAGCTTTTTTATTATCTTTGTTATGAAACATAGGTAGAAATTCATCTAAACTATCTTTTGAATTAAAGGATTAAATAGCAAACATTAATTATTATTAATCTTATGATACTAAATATTATTTTTTATATTGTTTTAATGATTCAATATTTTTATCTACGAACCCCAGCTAAACATGCTCTATAAATATTTCTAGGATTTTCTGGAAACATATCAGCATGAATTCTTAAATCTTCAATATTATCTATAAAATGGGATTGCAATCATTATGATACCTAATTCTCCTTTTTTTGTCCACATAGCTTCAGCTGTATATCTTTTACACATGTCTTCAGCTTCTTATCTCAAAACAGGATCATTTACTCTACCAGTAGCATAATCACATCCTTTCCAACAGATTTAGATTGATGGATTGTACCATGAAAATACATCTTAACACATTGCATAGCAGGTACCACCATTATACCTAAGAATTTATCCACCTAAGTTTATTTATTATGATTACCTGTTGCCATTTTTGATAATTAAAAAATAAAATGTTATTGTATACTATTATTATATAAGTTTAATAAATATTTTTCATTTTATTCTTTCTTATTGGAAGTAAGGGACATTCATAAGGATTCATAAACACTGTCTAATAATTGTATAAATAATATAGTAATTATTATTGACGGTATATATAGAGAGTCATTAAAAAATTAAATCTTTAAATTTAAATAAAAACAATCAATGTCCAGCAATAAAGAATAAATCAAGGCTGAAATTGATGAGAATAGAAAGAAATTAGCTGAAAAATTTGGATAAACTAAAATGGGTAGCACTTTGGCCAGAAGAAAGCATAAAAATGTTCACTAAACTTAAGTACGTAATGGAAATAATCATAATAGATAAATGACGATAAGAAGCTTAAATAAGTTATTAAGAAATTTGGAGTACAATAATTAGGGAATATTGATGAAGTCAACTTTTTCAAAGATGATAATACAATTATTCACTTTTCAAAACCAGAAGTCCAAGCAGCTATTGGAAGCAATACATTTGCCATTTTTGGAAATCCTGAAACAAAAAAGTTTGCAGAGTTGATGCCTGAAATTTTGAATCACATTGGACCAAACTAAATGAGTCTTCTTTAAGAATTAATGAAAGAAAATTAGAATAAGGTACAAAATTTTTAAATTTTTAAGGAAAAAGTTGAAAAAATTGCTGAGGCTGATCAAAAAGAGGAAGATGATATTCCTGATTTAGTGTAAGGATAAAACTTTGAAGAAGCAAGTAAGAAAGAATGAGTTACAATATAATATATTATGTATACCATCCATTATATTATTAAACAATTTCTATTATAATGCAATATAAATGTAAAGAGAAGATAGATTAATATTAAGTATTGATATTGTTTACAATATTAAGTAAGTATATGAATAATAAGAAATATTGTTTATGGTATTTTAGAATATTTAATGAGAATAAGTAGGTAATAAAGATGAGATTAGATAATAGATATCAAATGGAATGAATCCCATTTGAAATTATTATTAATTTAATTATTATTATGGTGTTGACTTAAAGACAAAGGGATGAATTAAATTAAGCAATACATCAATATTTATTGATAAGCTATCAATAAAGTGCATAGGTGTTTAAAGTAGAAGCAGTTGTTAAGGATGGATAGATTGAAGCAGATTTATTAGAAAAAAAATGGAATTCAATAGTAAGGTTATCAAAAAGAGTAATAACATTGGAATAGCAAGTAGAACAATTGAATGAATAATTAGCATAAGCTCAAGCTGGTAAATTACAATTTAATATATGTACAACAAATAAAGTTAAGATATAGCTGATGATGAATAGAGATTGACACCAATAGAGAAATTTAAATTAGAAGGACATAGAGCAGGAGTAAATTGTATAGCATTTCATCCGTAATACTAAATTCTTGGTTCAGCAAGTGATGATGGCAGTATTAAATTATGGGATTACGAAAGCGGTCATTTCGAAAAAACTTTGAAAGGACACACAAGTAATGTAAATTGTTTGGCATTTGATCCTACTGGAAAATATATTTGTAGTGCTAGTAGTGTATAATTAAATTTGATAATAAGGATTTATCAATTAAATTATGGGAATTAAAAAACCATACATGTGTAAAAACATTAATTGGTCATGAACATAGTGTATCAACAGTGTAATTCTCTGATCATGGAGATTTTATATTGAGTGCTAGTAGAGATAAAAGTATCAAATTATGGGAAGTGTAGACTGGATTTTGTAAGAAAACCTTTTCTGAGCATTAAGAATGGGTCAGATGTGCTGTATTTAGTAATGATGAAAAACAAATGGCTTCTTGTTCTTAAGATTAAATGATATATATTTGGGTTATAGATAGCGCTTAAGTATTGCATTAATTGAGTGGACATGAACACGTAGTTGAATAAGTCAAATATATTCCAGAACATGGAGCTAAATAAATATTAACATAACAATAATAGCAAAACATTTAAACTATTAATTTATTAGTTTCTGTTTCAAGAGACAAAGAAATTAAAATTTGGAATACTATTTCTGGTACTAATCTATTTACATTATCTGGACATGATAATTGGGTTAATGGAGTCTCTTTCCATCCAGATGGAATTCATATGTTATCTGTATCAGATGATAAGACTATTAGAGTATTATTATCATTTATTAGAGGTTTGGAATTTGAAAGAACAAAAATAAAAAAAGAAAATTGAAAATGCTCATGATAAGTTCATTTTGAAATGTGAAATTAATAAATTTATATTTGCCACATGTTCTGTAGACCAAACAATTAAATTATGGCTATTAAGTTGATCAAATAAAAAATATTTATCAAAAATATGTTAAATACATTTATTAATTCTATATTATAATT